CTCCAAGATGGCTCAACATAGGGCCAACATAGGCCAACTTGGGGCCAACAGACGCCAACATCGGCCCAACCTAGGCCAACATAGGCCTAACATAGGCCCAACCTAGGCCCAACATAGGCTCAACTTGGGCCCAAGATGTGCCCAACATAGACCACATGGGCGCAACTTGGCCCAACCTAGGGCCAAGATGCGCACCAGATAGCTTAACTTTGCTCAATATAGGCCCCACCAAGTCTCAAAGAAAGAGAGAGCGAGAGAGAGAGAGAGAGGACCCAGCCCTGCACATACCCGAACCCAAATAGGCCGGCGCCCGGCTGTCAGGCGTAAGCCTCATAAATATGTTGAACTATTCTGTGATGCCTGAGAATAAATCTATATATGGGCCGTGAGAATAAATCTATTGTATTATTAATGCTGAAAAAAAAATATATATATATATATATATACACACACATATCTATGGGCCCTGACAAGCCACAGTCCCTGGAAGCAAACAGATGCCTCTTGCACGCTGTCCTCCCAGTCGGCCCTGCGAAGAAAGAGCGCAGCAAATCAGTGACTCGAGGACCAAATCAGTGACTTGTGGGAACCCTTTACTCCCAAGAAGCTACTAGTAACAAAGGGCATCGCTACTGGGAGCAAGGACGCTACTAGTAGCTCCTGGCATTACTACTAGTAACAAGAAGCTACTAGGAAAAAAGGGCATCGCTACTAGCTCAACATGTCGAGCTTCGCTGCATGCTGAGAAGCTGTCCCCTCAAAAATGCTGGCTGTGCACAAAAAGCGCGTTCGACCTAGGTCGGACCACTTGGCCGCCAAGCATCGTGGACTCCATCATCGTCTTGGAGTTGCCATTTCGGTACTCCTCAGGGCAGGGCTCAAGGGCTGAAGAACCCTTGATCCTTGGGCCATCTCAACAAGTAGGCAGACTCGTACCCTTCGGCAGGCATTGATAGTAATTTACCCTTGAGGGTTAACGGATTCAATGATGAATCGTCAGTGATTCACCGGTCAGGCGTGCGTTTGAGTCAACTCTTTGTGGAAATCTATTATATAAGTATATTATATAAAAATATATATATAGTATATATATATAATAGAGAGAGAGAGAGAGTTGAAATAGCTGACAACGGTTCCTCTGTATTTTTGGTTGACTTCACTGCGAACAACACTAAACAGCCCTGTGCATCCTGTGCTTTGGGACCCATGTGGACATCGCAATATCACCCCAGGCCGCCACCTGCTGAAAATCGTCATCAAGCGGAGGTCGATATCCTGTCAGAATCCGAAGGATTTTTGTTGTGGGAGACTGACCAACCGAGTCAGGTTGTGAAAGAGAGTGGAAGACAAAGGAACCTACCGAAGTCTCGCAGAGTTGTGAATCCTGGCAACACACCGAAGCTGAAAATATCTCAGAGGCCTCTACAGTAGCAGGGTCCCCAAATCTTCCAGATCAAACATTTGCTGAGTCCGCCTGCTGCAGCATGGCCTAGGAGCCAAAAAGAGCCAGGAGCCAACAGACGACTGACATCTCACCAATGGATGGCCAAACAAAATTGATTCAGGAAAGAGGTGACATGACCATTTATTTAGGTGTGGATACAATATACAATAAATATATACTTGTTTTACTTAATTAATAATGAATGCAGATGAGACAAGTGGAATCATGATGTTTTATCCACTCTCAACTGAATGGCAGGCTGTTGTAGATGGAAACTGCCCTTGGAACCAGCTGTGAGCTTGGAGCAATATCCCTTGACAGCCCTTCATTCACTAGGTTCCAGTGCAACATATCTTCCTATGCAGAGTAATATCAACATCTACAAGACGCCCAAAGTAACACAATATTGAATTCGATCATTGAGCTGTTTGGTCATATTAGTTTGTATTGAATGACATGACTAGTCAAGAGTCTGAAGCCTGGCATTCATGGTGTGCACGAAACCTAAGCTCAATGGGTGTCTTGCTGTTATAGGGGAACAAAAACCTATCACAAGTCGTACCCACCATACCAAAGTCCCAGCGATCGTGTCTCACTCGTGTCCCCATCGAATGTACCAAAATGCCCAAGCAGTTGAGCACCAGGCCATTTCTCTGGCTGTAGCCGTTGTCCCGTCCATTGGATCGGCCATAACCACGGTCATATCGATCCGCCGGATCGGTGGAGCCTCTCGACCTCGGTGGATGCACCCGACGGGTTGATGCACCCGAGGCGTGTTTCGATGGAAGGCTTTTGCCCGATGTGAACTACCCAATGCCTCCCCCGTTCGAGAACCCTTGGATGTTGCCGACCGTCACTTCGGAAGCTGCAGGTGGGAGCGAAGCCAAAGCCGAAGCAAATCCAATGGCAGAAGTGATACTACCCCCCCCAATGCAAATGGGACTAGAATGTGGACTGCACCATGCTGTGGAACATGCTGTAGCTGCGAGCTCACATGGTTTTCAGCTCCCAAACTTGAGATAAACCCAATTGACCTGAAGGACCCCTACCTCATGTACTGGTCAAATGCACGAACTGGTGTCAAAAACACCAAGGAGTTCTTGACACTGAGTTGTGAACGGTTGTGAATAGGCTCAAATGAAGCCACATTCTAGGAATCACTGTTTTGGGGTAGAGAGCCTGGCTCTGACACGGAAGACATGAATGCGATCCGAAACCACGGAGTCCAGCTTTAAAGCTCTCTGAGGATTCTCCTTTAGAATGTTGCCACTTGATCAACCGCCTGATCTACCCCCCTCTGTCCATGAAATGTGCCCCCTCACAAGTTCTATAGGATCCAAGTGCAACAAATGGCATACCCCCTCGACCGTACAGGGCCGGGGGATGTGAGGTGCCCCCACGGTCTCAATGGGCCAGGTTGAGCAATGCCTCGCCGATGCTCGACCGATTTCAGGTGAAGTCTTTGACAGATTGAGGTAAAAAGCTTACTCATTCTACTACTAGTAACAAGGGCATTACTACTAGTAGCAAGGACGCTACTGGGAGCAAAGGGCATGACTAGTAGGAACAAGAAGCTATAAGAAGCTACCAGTAACAAGGGCATCGCTACTCATTCTTCCAACAGCCCATCAACTTAGGGGCATCATATGATGGCAATCATTCCACTGACCCTTGAAGTGCTTGGGCCACTTTGGCACTTTGGGAGGGAAACAAAACACCGGCAAGTCTTGAGCTTCCTCGCACCCATTCTGCCATGGCGACATGACAGCCCGGCCATGTGGCGTGGCCTGCCTCCAACCTCCAAAGCTGCCGGTTGCTTACTGCCTGGCGGCCCCCAGCAGGATGCGATTGGAAGAAAAAGGGTGTTCAGGCTGAAGGTGAACCGGCAGAAGCGTGATGGTGTGAGCCAAAGGGTCACCTCACCTGGACCGAAAGCATATCTTCTTTCATTTCCTTCAGCTGCATGTTTCTTCTTTTTAAGGGTAAGCGAAAAAACAAATTTCAGACATCGGACAAACCATTGGGTAAATGCAGAAAAGAGCCAGGCTCCGTCGGGTTCAACCATTCAGGGAGTCATTCCTATTTAATGAAAAAAGAACTCTCCACTGGTCCTGTGGTCTTTTCAACTTGCACATGAAGGCTAGAACGTGTCTGGAGGACAATGACCCTGCAAGTCATGAAAGTGGAAAAGGCTCTGGTTTTTCGAGGACAAGAATATACAAGAATGCTGCGTGAACCATGACTTCCACTTCCATTTCTTCGTGGAGTTAGGGTACTAACAAGAAGCTACTAGGGCCTTACTACTAGGAGCAAGGACGCTACTATCCCGCTACTTCCACTGTTCTCTGCCCCGACGACTCCCAAGTCCGGTCGTTGCCTCGGATGTTCAGCGGGTCGCCGAAGAGGTCATCCCCACTGACGTGCATCAGTTCCCTGTTCTCCCGGTGGCCTCGAACAGACCGCTTAAGAAGGCGCGCACGCTGTCCGATCGCAGTCTCACAAGGACGGCATCTCCAAACTGGATCGGACCTGCAAGTGGACCTATCGGATGTGTTTCGTGCATGTCCGAAGGGACAGGGATGTTCCTCTGAGTTGCCAGCTGGTGAAGTCATCTCGGAATGCCATGGGCAATTGCGTGCCAACTTGGCTAGTCAGACCGGCACGCAAGGTTTGCCTGATTATCGAAGTGCTCGCTATGTATACATGTTAGCGTTACATAAATATACTTCAGTATGTCGTGTTCGGTACACGTATATAATATATAGAGAAACCACCACCCAGTTACTCGAGGCACCGTGAACGAGCTTTGCTGTGAACGAGCTTTCGGGAGTTCGTGAGTCGTGCACATCACGCATTCAGATCTTCGGTGAGCCGGTGGCGATCGAACAAGTGCGGCCACTTGGCTGAACGCTCTTTGGGGAACGCTCTAGACCCGTCAAATGGAGAGGGTGGTCTGGAGTCTACCCTCCGAATTCACCAAACAAGAACACTCAGGAGAGGAACATGATCTTGCACCCAGCTCTAGCACGCTGACAGACTATCCATGTTCGTTTCGGGAGTAGATCGATCTGCAAGACGCCATCCAATGCATTCAATCCCCTTCCCGGTGGGAATTGGTGGAATTTCTGACTAGGAGTCGACAGAAGAAAAAAACATGCAGTGAAGCTTGACGGAACGCAGCGAGATGCCGGAACGCAGCGAGCATTTTGTTGCGGTCATCCTTTGCTGTCGCACTTTGCGCCCATATGAGGGCATGCACATAGGTGCCTCAAGAGGAGTGAACGAGTTCTGCCCTGCTTGACACATCAATCACTGGGAATCTTGATGCGTAGCCTCAAGAAAGGACTTGCAGTACTGGGCTAAGATTGTTTAAGGGTGTAAGGAGACACAACAAATGCTGACTATATAAATGGATCCGTCTTCCGTGGATGATGCAAGTGTTGGCAAACATTAGAAACCTCTTTCCAATGCAAGGTCAAACAACACCCAAACGGCACACCAGTTTTCACGCACGAGGAAACGGTACTTTACCACAACCAAGCAGCCAGACTTCAAACTGACATCGCAAACCATGACTCCTAAAATTACTCAAATTCAACATGAAGGTCAGGTCAGCTTTCATGCGTATTTCCATGCATTTCCTGAATGACTGCTTGTTGTCGCGTTGTCAATCACATGATGTTATCAATAAATGTTTTTTTTTTTGTTTATACAATATATAATATATGTGTGTGGCTTCTTGTTTGAAAGCAATGGGAGGCAATCATCAATGTTCTGTAAACGTAGCTTGTGGGGGGGGCAATCTGGCCTATTTCTTGATCGGTTGTCGATGCGAGAGTCGTGGCTGCTGAGCTGAAACCAGGGTGAGAAGATGCACTCCGGACTCTGGTGGCGTGGCAGCATTGGCAGAGAGGTGCGTAGATTTGCTTTCAGATCTCTGTCAGGGACGAGCAAAGCCACAAAAAACATCAAACAACTGATGGAATCAAGCAAAGGAGTCCGTAGGTGTCGTATACTGCATTCTCATCTGGGCAATTTGTGATATTGTTTTCCTGGAGTTGGGTGCCATGAGCTGAGTAAGAACATTACCGAGATGAACCTTTACAGCATACTTGCCGATACCCGAATTCTACTGCTCTTCCCATCTTCTCTGCTTGCTGAGCTGAGTCATAGGTAAGCCCTAGCTGCCTCTAGCTGAATCTCCTGCAAACAGCTGGCCATTGACAACCAAAAGTCTTTGGGGCAATCATAATATTGCATTAGTTCATCCTCTAGTTCAACTGATCGTCGCCGTTCTTCACTGCCGTGTGCAAACGTGCCAACCACCAGCACAGCGTTCAGGCAAGGCCCCGGCCTCAGAGAAGAACCAGGGGGTTGCAATCGAATTGGAGGGAGAAGGGGCCGGATGGTGGCCAGGAAATGAGTTTGTCTTCTGGCAGTACCTTTTCCCTCATTGAACGATCATGGTTCAGGTCCCCCTTTTGTTGACAAACGCGGCAACGTCACACTTCAACAACATGCTGCTGGAAACGTTGGAAGCTCCCCCTGCAAAGGTATGGTACGTAATCTACCGAGCTGTCTTTGTGGACCGAATAACCAAATATGGCGATACCATCATCCAGCAAAGAAGGTTGGCACCCCTGGCTTCCTTTGGAGATGGCTCAAACAATCGTGATCTGAAGCTTTGGGGCACGTAGCTCACTTGTGAGGATGCAATGGCTTTGGGTTCAAAGGTCAAGCTTCCAACCCAAGTCAAGTCGAGTTGAAAACGCATCTGTTGAAGTCACCTAAGTCACCCACTCTTGTTGAACCGATGTCCGATGAGATGTCTCCGTTGAACGATGGAGGAGCCGTCGATTGGTTCAACGGAAGCGCAACCGATGCCCGAAATAAGACTGATCCTTGGCGAGCGTCTCTGAGCCTCCAGGAAGCTAGTCAAGCCACCTGGGGGTCAAGAATTTAGGCGGTACCGAGAAGGCGCGCAAAGCATCTGTGGCTGTGGCCTTTTCTTCTGTTCTTCTTGAGCCGGGGTAGGCCGGAGTAAGAGAGGTAAGCTAGTAGCTAACAAAGAGATATATAGTAAGCATCTAGTAGCTAACAAGTAGCTACTGTACTACCTTGGACCAAAAAAAACTGAAAAAGAAGAAGAAGCTCAATTATTTTTGCATGAGTTCTCCATCCAAACAAACAATTTGATTATATGTACATATATACTATTTACAGTACATCTATTCATACTTTGAATTGTAATTGTAAATCAGGGGTTCCCAAAACAAAGTACCAGCCCATCTTACAAAAACAAAACTACGAGTAGCCACCCTCGCAAATACAACGCAAGCAAAAGGTGCCACTTGAAAAAGGGGGATTGCCACCTGAACTATTCATCTGCTACCGAGTCAGTACCAGGTGGTGAAGCGACCACCAACCCCCAAGGCCTATTGAAGGATGAGTTCAAAACAAAGAACATCTGCCAAGAGACCCATGGGTGCGCTGCCTCCACCCGTGACAAAGTCCTCATTGAAACATTCCAAAACAAAGGTAGAGGATTTGAATTGACAAAAACATTGCACAGTTGAAACGAAACGCAACACAGATATGTTGACAGGTCTCCTGCCCATAGTTGGCTGGACGTGGGAGCCACACCGGCACCGGCACGAGGCCACCGTAGCTGCTGATGGGGCTTCGTGATCTGCACAAAGCATCGAATTTCGGAAATGATTGCCCCATAACACCAAAACCCAAGCCTGAAACAAGACTGTTAGCCAGTGAAGTAAGCTGGAACTGGGACAAATGATATCAAGTCGTCTCCTTGTCGCGATGCCTAGGGTTTAGTTTGTTGGCCTTTCTCAATCTTTCACTCTAAAAGAGCACCACCAACTCAGGGCTGCTGTGACAGTGGCGATGAAGGCCGTAGGCTTCTCAGATTGTACCCAACAAGCATGAATCAGAGGGATCAATGTCCACTAAGCGCCTCTTCTTGGCTTTCTTTTTCTTCCTCATAGGGCCAGGTCACAGCTCAGAGCGTGCAGTTTCGGTCCGGACTTCATAGTTCAACACAACTCGTGCAAAAGAGTTCAAGTTTTTTGGCATGCCAAAAACTTCCATCTGATGGCTTTTCAGAACACTTGACCACCCAAGTGTGCGACCCATGAAACTACGCTGAACAGACCAAAGCAAGCGGTAATGGCGTGTGGGTTACCATCATGTCTCCTGATGATTCTGATGATGCGATGCGCGTGTATATATTTTAGATTAGAGGTGCTCCTAATATGTGGTGGTGCAGCTTCTCAACTTTCACCCTGCTGCCTGCCACAAATATCACCACTGCCACTGCCACCCTTCCATTCAGATCTATCTCTGCCAAAATTGTAACGGCAAAACCTCCGTTGGGGCACACGCTAACAAGGCACTGTTGACTTACTGTACATACCACACGCCAACTTAGCTATCAGTTCTTGATAGGAATGATTAAGTCCGCGCAAGTTGTCTGGTGCCCATATGTGCCCATCACCCCTGCATGACCCCAAGCATTGTGCCCGTGCTACCCGAATTCCAGCCCATACCGTAGGCGAGTCTCTTCTTCTTCTCTGAAGGCGAGCTGCTGCTGCTGTAGCTGCCTTGGCTAAAAAGGTGCTGGAACTTCCAATGGTTCTGCTTTGCTCAGGATGCGATCTCGCATGTGATAGTTTGGTACCAGCTTCTCGTTTACCTGCCTTTTCTCACACCTTTCTCAAGTAGAAATGTCACAGTCCTTTGTGCAGGAGGCTAGATCGGAGACTTTTATAAACACCCCGCACACATCCTCCCATCCCCAAACACATCTTCGCTTCACCGCCGATTCCGCTCAATGAGACTCAATCACCGCCTCTTGAAGCTGTGGAAGCACCACAATGCTCTATGCTGAAGGCAAGGGACTGCTGCTTTTGGAGCTACTGCTCCTGAGAGGCTAGGTCCAGACCAAGTATATCTTCACAGCGATTAATGTCGATGCGTGTGACAAGCAAACTACATTTGCCTCTACTGCAGCGGCCTACGCATTGCAGCGTTGCCGTCTTGATTCGACAGCTTGAAGAGACTCACACATGTGGAGGGCAACAACCCACCCGAAGTAGACACGTTGACCTAGTAGTCCAAAATAAGGTATTTGCCGGCGCACATTTTCACGGATGAACAGCTATTCAGCCCGGGTGCATATTTTTGTATACGACTCAGCTTTCTGTTATTCCGTTTGCATGCAATTCTCAAGCTCTTCAACACCACTGTACATCCACGAAAAGCGTCCCAATGGCGATGCTCTTCTTCTTCGGGTCGTTCGCAGCTTTGGCGCGTGCAAGTCGGATCCGCTCACCCGCAGTCAGCTTCCGTCCTGAATCACCCCACGAGCAGTCGCGAGTGTGCCTGGTGAGGTCATTCCCAAAGGTTTAGAGTGAAATCCCCAACTGCACAGACATGTTCATGCCCAAATACCTCTTGTACGGTTGAACATAGCTCAAAAATGTGAACACCAGCAACTGACAGCCCCTCATTGCAGCGGCTGCAAGGTTGTTTCTTTGCCCCTCCATGGCTTCAGCTCCTCCTGGGCCCACTGCTGTGACCTCATCATCGGGCGCGTCTGCAGCCTCCGC